TAGACCAGCAGGCGCGACTTAGAGCCCAACGTATCTGGAATCTGCGACGCGATCTTGAGCCAGACGCGTTGGTCGAACATGCTCAAGAGCGGGCAGAGTCACGCGACGCCAGCTAAGCACGCGCAGAACGGCTTTCAAGACAGATGCGGAAGGAAGCGCGCGAGCAATCATGAAAGACGGGATGAACTAGGCACGGCTGGGGGCCTGGTCAGCAAGGACAAGTGTTTTGGTGGCCCGCTGCGTGCAGGGCAGGAGTTTGGCAGACAAGCTAGCGGCGACGTGGCGCCGGCGACCACTTGGATGCAGCAAAGTCAGAACCACGAAGAGCAGCTCACGACGGACCTCGACAGAGCCGATAGCTACCTTGAAGATCCCGAGGCTGGAATCCCGACATGCAGACCTACGACGGCGACAGGGTTGACCAATGGCAGCCACTTGGGATCAGAGCCCGACCCACGGGCGCCAGGAGCAGCCTGGTTTACGCCATCGATATGCGAAATGAATCGCTGCTGGCCGCGCCACTTCTACCACTGATGGCACCATCTTCTGGCCAACGCAGGAGGAGGCGCAGCTGGGCAGCATCGAAATTCCCCGTGCGACTTCGAGGCAAGATGGCGAACGCAGAAACGCGAGATTGGGCGCGAAGCAAAGGCCGGCGACTCGGGCGCTGCAAACCTAGGCCCGTCGGCAGCAAGAGCAGCAGCGCGGCCTCTGGCGCTCGACGAACCCAGTGCGAAGATCGTGGGATCGTCTGTTGGCGCCTTACACCTTCAAGCCGAGATTATGCGACAGCGCGGGCCTGGGCGCGTTGACCAGGCAAGCGATGCAATTCGATTGCCCAGAGGTCAACTTGCACGTGGACATGTTGATGCTGCGATCGCCCATAGTAGTCCGAGCTTGCCGCGACCGTGCGCTACAGACATGGCCTTGCAAAGCGGTGAAGTTGCTGGTTCTGCGGCGGCCAATCACACTGCACGATCTTTGATATACATCTTCTTGGACAGCGCCCACACTGCAGCACTTTTGGCGTTTGCGAGATACTTCGCATACGATCTTCACGCGCGAGTTGAAATGGCGACCGGACCGATCCCAGGAGCAGGTCCCGATCGCAGTTGGTAGTTTGGTTCAGGCTTGATCGGGTTCCAAGTTGGCAGCGTCCAGCAAGTCGGCACTCTTCGCGGCATTCGATAAGAAAGCAGATCATGAAGCAGCTGAAGACACATGGCAAAACATCGAGACACCCATGCGCGTTAAAGACCTTTGCGTTGATGCAGGGCCCCGACGCCCCACGATCTTCTAACGGAAATCAGCCGCGCACGGAAGGCCCGGGAACGAACCGAGCGCGCGAATGGATCCAGCGAGCAGAAAGGGCGTTGGAGGCAACGGTCGATATTGCTACTGGGCTTCAGTTTTCGGGCCAAGCAGAATTACGATAGGCCCGTCACGGGGCCATGGCCCAGTGCGGTGCGCGACGCCAGAGCCCGGGCAGCCGACATGGTTCGGTGAACTACAGGTGGCAGGTGCAGATCTTCGACCAACGCAAACTTCTACGGAGACAACGAACAAGCCACAGCCTGACTGCAGCGTCAGGTCCGCGAGTGGACGCAGGTGCGGCAACGAGATGCACCTGCGCGCGACCGCCGACGAGAAGGGCAGCTACATCGTACCCAGCACGGAGAGGGACGCGGCATGAGTAGACGTGGCGAGTGGGACTCGGTCTATGGGCCAAGAGGAGCATTGAGCTTATACTTTGAACAAGTTGGCAGGGCGCCTCGTCGGCCCTGCGAGTGGGGGGCCCCAGGAGGGGACCGCTGGCACTTTCTAGATGGAGACAAATTGGATTTCATGGGCGCCACGCAGGCCATCGCCAAAGAAATGACCAGCAACTTTGGGATAACGCAATGGGTGACTATTTTTTTGGCCAGGGGCATCTAGCACGGCGTGGACAGCATCGCGCTCAGGCGCGCCCGACGCAGATTACAGTGAGCAGATCGCGTGCAGGAGGCAAGAGCACTAAAGGCGCCCGCCCGCAGACCGCTTCGGACAGGCCAGCGGCGCAAGGCAGCGGCTGGCCATGCCGATGGGATACGCGCGCCGTGGCAATGCGCCGCTCACTCTCGCGCGCGGGATCTACGAATGCGAAGTGAGTTGTCATTTGTCCAGAAGTCGCGGCCGAGTCGCAGAGCCTCTGCAGGAGGGCAGTAGAGGAGATGCACGAGGACGCCAGCGCAGAGGCGTTCTGGCTACGCGGGCTTCAACCGCGGCATCGAAATCTAGTGCCAGATCTCCCAGCTTGGGGTCAGTGGGATGGAAGTTACTTGATCGGGGCATCTTCTGGGCCCATAGCCACCGCCAAGGACTTGATGGCGATCGAACTTGCCGCCTGCTCTACAGCCTGCATCGACGGCTCGGGCTCCGGCAGCGACGCGCGCGCCAACCGAGGTGCATGGGGGCCCGCGCGACAAGCTGCCACCGAACCTCGAGGCCACATACCTGTGCAGACCGTGCTCTCATGCCAGAAGGCATTCGAGTACCTGGAGGCGGAGTCTGCCATGGGTTTGGCCGGGTGAACGAGCAGCCACCAACTGATCAGGGGCGGCCTGGCCATGGGCCCCAAGAAGGGCAACGAGAGGAGCTGGCGCGTGACATCGGTGCATGGGCAGCAGAACGGGCGGCCAACGTTGACATGAATAGTGTAGCCAATCTACAGAACTGCACGTTGTAGTGCGAACTGCGCATGGAACAGCGCCTCAGTCAACCGGCTCAAGCCGAACTGCTCAGATTGCCCCAGAGTCCATGCCAGACCAGAAGTCCCAGCCACATTGCGAAGGGCATTGGCGGCGCAGGCTCCACGAGCACCACCGCGCAAGGGCGCCCACGAGCACTGCCGAGCCCTACTTGGATGGGAAAGAGATGCTTGCATTGCTCGCGGGTGGAATCACACTGGCAGGGCCATAACAAGGCCCAGGCGGTTCGCGCAAGATCGCGCGCCGCACTTCTCGCGAGATTTCCCGTCATATTGCGGAGACGGCGAAGATGACGAGACGAGCGTCGCCGCCGTTTTTTTTTTTTTTTTTTTTTTTTTTTTTTTTTTTTTTTTTTTTTTTTTTTTTTTTTTTTTTTTTTTTTTTTTTTTTTTTTTTTTTTTTTTTTTTTTTTTTTTGTTTTTTTTTGTTATATATATTATATATATATATATATATAATATTCTTATTACTATATTTTTGTGTGTTCCCCCCCCCCCGGTTGGGGGAGCCAGCCGACCCGATCTCGCAGGTGGAGTTGTCCCTGACATTTGCCATGCCAGCTGCTAAGGCACATCGGATGGAGGGCAAGCAGCGCTTGCAGCTGAACGCGCAGGCTTCCTCTGGGCGCGAGTCTCCACCAGAGGACCGATCGCCATATATATATATATATATACATAGACATATACATATATACATATATATATATTGACTCAGCAGGTCATGAATGGACGGTCTCAGCAGCGGCATGGATTACCCCAGGGTGCAAGGAGAAGTTGGCGGCCGCGCAGCGAACAGGCACTGCAGAGAGCCCAGGTGGAGCGCAGGGAGTTGACGTCATCAAGCTGTTGGGCCAATGCTATGATATCAGTTTTGAAATCGATTTTGCCGACGATCTTGCCCAGGCGAGGCGCAGGGGGAACCGCGGCAGGCATGTGCGACGAATCCAAGCGATTGATGGGGGCGAAAAACCCAGCGAGGCTGTCCCAGCAGTGAGCTGCGGCCATGGGCGCGCACGGGCGTGGACCGCGCGAAGCACGACATGACGACAACACTTGGCAACGTAATCTGGACATCGCATGATGGGGGTGCGCGGGCAATGGGTTGGCCAAGGGCGATGGGCGTCGCAAGGAAACTACAAGCGCCATTGATTTGACGGAAGGTAGCGTTTACATGAGATGGCAGCGCGAGACACATGAGCATACCATGGGCTTGCGGCATACGTACCAAACAACGAGATGATCATGGCTGGTTTTGGTGCTGGAGCAGTTCGTTGGCTGGATGTCGCAATCATGGCGGGCTCGGACGCGCGAGTCTATCTGCGAACCAGTGCCGAGAGAAGGTCACTGGGAGTGGCCAGACGGTACAGGGACGCCCACGGGAAGGATTGCCCCCCAAAGCTGGACAGGGCTGGCCCGTCGGCATGGCGCCGCCAATTGGTGGCAATCTGTTGTACTTCGACGCGTTGTTGGACGTCGCTCACGCCGTGGTTGAGTTCGCGATCGGGTCTTCGACCTCGCAACTCGCAGATAAACTTTGCCCTTGTGGTGGCAGGGAGGTGGGGTTCCGCCCGCTCTCCGTGGTGGGCTCGCGACTTCACGAGCCCGCGCAGCGCCCTGGGGCGACGGGCCTCGGCGGCCGAGCTGACTGCGCTGCCATCCGCTCGCGAGTCCTCCAGTCCTCCCTCCCGTTCCCCCCCTCGCCTTCTCCTTGCTAAGGGGCCGTGTCGATCGGACCGATCCGATGCGGCCTGATTGTTGTTTGCGTGGTGATGTTGTGCATCTTGGCGCAGCCGATTTGGCTCGATCCCGACTCCGTGCCGACGCTACCCGATCCAGCGCACGTATCGACCCGATCAGAATTCCCGATTCGATGTTGACCAGAGTTCCCCACATATTTTTCCCCCCTCGTTCCTCGGCGTGCCGCGCGCGGGCCGAATTTGCCATCGGGGCCGCATCGCCGATTTGTCGGCGATGCATCGCCGATTCCAGGTTTATTCAGGAGGGAAAAAAACACACAGACACAATTAATCCTCGATTCCCCAGAAAATATGGGACAATATGGGAAGTGGAGGGGAAGACAGAAACCAAGAAAATATAGGAAAATATGGGGAACATTTTTATTTGTGTGTATTTATTTGTGTGTCCTGGGGCCCCTTCATTTATGTTCCCCCGTGGAGCAGGCTCCTCGTAGCGTTGCCCGTCAAGGAGGGGCCAGGGCGTGGCACGAACGCACGAATGGCGGGCCCGGGAACAGGTCGCGGAAAACATCCGCGACAAGCTGAAGGTCGCAGTGTCCGGGGAGAAAGGCGCCGCGGCCGCGGGCCCGCTGACATTTTTCTCGCGTCGTCGGAAAATCATGACGGACGGTTTTTGGTCGTCTTCGTCTTCAGCTTCGGAGGCGGAGGAGGACAAAAGAGGCAGGGTGGGCTCCGACCTTGAGAAATCTGCGACGGAGGTTTTTTGGCCGCTTTCGCCCTTGGCAGTCGGGGCCCTTGCCGGGCCCCGTGGTCTCGAATCGTGCATAATTTGCGATGGATAGTTTCTGCAAGTTTTGGCCCCCAGGGGGTTTTGCCAGGCTTTGGGAGGAGGCCGTGGATTACGACAAATCGTTCCAGCGGTTTGCGGAACTTTCTGGAGCGGCCGCGGCGTCCGACAGACGTTTTCCAGGATCGCCAGCTCTTATCGATGACAGAATTCAAACGGAATTACCCTCATCCGGGTCGAAGGCTTGCGCCGGAACCAGGCGTCTCCGTGGCTTCGGGCCCCCAAACCCCCGCCGATCGATCGGGTTTGAGACATGCTCAGGGGCGGCCAGACCGCGCCGTAGCAAGTCGACCTTTTCCGTGACGACGTGACGGCCTCTCGTTTCGCTCCAAGACGCGGGCAGGCGGTTGGAAGGGAACCTCGAGGGTGAGGGGCTCGTCGCGGGGAGGGTCGGTCAACAAATCCGCGTCCGAAATGCCGCAGAAAGGTGGTCTCAAGGGTTCTGGTCGTGAATTATATCGTCGTGTTCGCTGTGGTGTACTTGTTGTTCGATGCGTCGGGTCTCGGTGTGTCAGTTCCGGCTCCTTCCTTGTCGGCGCTCCGAATGGGCCGGCGTGACGAGGGAGGCTTTCCAAGGCAGGCGGAGGGTTCTTTGCGGACCAGCATGAAGGAAACGGGTCTTGGAGCAGTTCTTGGCAGTTTCCCCTCCTGGCCCCCCCCACATGGGGCCTTCGGGTCCCAGGACCATCAACGAGCAAGTTCGGGTGAACACCTGGTCCCAAGATGACAACCTTGGGACCCAGGACCCGTCTTTCCCCCAGATCGCCCTCTCAAACGTCCTCCTGCATCCCGAGAAGCTTTCCCAGAAACCTCCGAACCCCTCGAAGGACCCCCATGTCGTTTCAAAGGGCCACCCCGTGCATGCCGACCGCCGTCGGCTGAAACCCTACTCGCCGCCACGCAAGTCCCGGGCAGGGTGTGCTGCCGGCGGAAGGGGATGGGGAGGGGAGAAGCAGGCAGACGTCGACGAACGCGCATGCGGGAGGCCACGTCCGGCGGGGCGGGCGGGCAAGCGGAAGAGGGGCCAGGCGGAGACAGCAGGCAGGGAGCAGGAGGAAAGGAAAAGGAAGGAAACAAGGAAGAGGAAAAGAGGGGGCGCAACCGCAAGCAGGCAGGCAGGGCCACCCGCGACGAGGCCCCCCGCCACCCGCGACGACGGCGGCGACACCGACCAAGCGGCGCAGGCGTAGCGGTGGAGCGGGCGGTGGGCATGGGGGGGGGGTCGCCGTTGGCAGTCGTCGGGAAGGGCCGTCCGGGGGCGGATTGGGGTGGCCGACCACGCCCAGCGCGCCGCGTCGGGAAGGGCCGCCCGCTGCGCTCACCCACCGCCCCGCCGAGGGCAGGGCCAGACGGCGTGCGCCGGGGCGGAGCGAGGAACCGCCAGCGCGAAGCTGGCCGTGGGGGCTGCCGTGGCCGCGGCCAGTCTGGCCGCTACCAACCCCGCCCGTCCAGACAGCGGTTGGAGGCGCCGTTGCACCGCCCGCGCGCTTTCCCTGCGCAGGGATACGGAAATCGCTGGGCGTGTTGGTCCGCAGCCACTGCGGCGTCCCCCCCGTGTGGCGTGAGCCACCCGCTTGGCTCGGACCCCGAAGGCCTTGCGTGCCTCGCGGCCCTACCCGCCGCCGAGGGTTTCCACCACCATGGAGAGGAAGGTGAAGCCCAGTGCCGCGCAATGCCGCGCGGTGTCCCGGCGTTGCCTTTTGAACTCGTCGTGCCGCTCCGTCGCCGCTTTCGACGGAGTTGCCGACGCAGCGAAGAGACCAACGCGCAGCCCTGACGTGGTGGCAAAGTTCCAGGCGGCCGCCGTGCCGTTACGCCACCGTGGAAGGTAAACGTCGGCAGGGCGTTGGCCAGTGTCGTTCACTTGGGGGTCGCCCTGCTCGCCCCCGGGGGTGGCCTACCCAGCGGGGCGCGGGGGTAGCAGCCCAGAGCGTTCCAACCCCGCCACGGCGGGGCCAGCGGCCACGGCGTCGAAGAAGGTGGACTGGGCGGTGGGCGTCGACCGCCTCTTCCTCCTTATCCCCTTTTGTAGGGTTGCAGGCGGGGCTGGGCAGGATGGGGGGGATGACAACCAGGACGGGGGCCACGATGATGAAGATGACGATGGTGATGATGCTGATGATGACGATGATGATGATGATGGCGCTGATGAGGATGATGATGGTGATGATGGTGCTGATGGTGGTGATGAGGACGATGATGGTGATGGTGATGATGATGATGATGATGATGATGATGATGATGATGATGATGATGTTTATGATGATGATAACGATGATGGTGATGATGATGATGATGATGATGATGACGATGATGATGATGATGATGATGATGATGATGCTGATGATGATGATGATGATGATGATGATGATGATGACGGTGATGGTGATGGTGATGAGGAAGAGGAGTATGAGGAGGAGGACGAGGACGAGGACGAGGACGAGGACGAGGACGAGGAGGAGGAGGAGGAGGGGGAGGAGGGATGGGAAGGAAAAGAACAGGAGGGGTAGGAGTAGGAGGAGGAAGGGGAGGAAGAAGAGGAGGAAGAGGAGGAAGAGGAGGGAAAGGGGAAGGAGGAGGAGGTCATTAGGAAAAGGGGAAGGTGGAGGAAGAGGGGGGGAGGAGGGAGAGGTGGAAGAGGAGGATCAGAAACAACACGCACATGGGGTTGTGTCACCGCTTTCTGCCCAATCCGGTTTGGAATTTTCCGGGCCTCGAGGCTGCCCCGGAGTGTTGGCGGGTGGGCGGACGGGGTTCGCTAGGCTTCAGGCCACTCGGAGCGCTGGCCTCGCCGCGTCCGGTGTCAGCCTCGCGATCAGGCAGACCCAGGACAAATATACATCGCCCCGGAGCGTTGTGGAATGCTTCCAGAGCGTTCCATGGCGCTCTGGAAGGGCTGCGGTGCTTGATGCGTCACGCAGACCCGCCAGTTTAGAGAGATTCCCGAGTTACGCCGCATCCGAATCCTGTTTTCGCTTTAGAGGAAGATCGGGCCGTCTGCATTCGGGTGATCAACACTTCCTGGGAGACAATGATCGCGGACGAGGGGGCTTCGAGGACCGAGGAGTTGTTTGTCGTTTTTATGCGTTTTTGGGCGTCGTTGGGACTTGTCGGGGGCGACACCCCGCGCAGTCATCACACACCTTTCCTCAACCATCAAATTTCACGCTCATCATCATCGTCACACCACCGTCATCATCTATATCATCATCATTATCATCACACCCTGACCATCAATCATCAGCATCACCGCCCATCAACATCACACACACATCATCATCATCATCATCATCATCATCATCATCCGTAGCCATTTTGGCTCAAGTTGGAACCATTGCTCCGTGGCTCCAGCTTGGGAGCAGCCAAGGAGCAGATCGAGCGCTCTTGGCACACAGGGTGCCGTCTTCCCTTCGAACAAACAAGGTTCGTTCTCCCCTTCAGACCTCTCTGCTGCGATGGCGGGTGCTGTCTCCATGGATCAGAAGATGGATCAGCTGCTCACGTCCATGGCTTCTGTGGTGCAGGCGGTCAGCGGCCACGACAAGAGGTTGGCTGAGATCACCACGGAGATGAACGACATGCGCAAGGAGATGCGCACGGAGATCGACACGCGCTTCGAAGCGCTACAGTCTCAAATCACTGCGGCGGGTTCACGGGACACGGACGACATGGACACGGTCGATGAGGCCCTCACCGTTTCCATGCTCAGCGCTCAGACGGACAGAAAGATCAACGACATCAATGCCAGTTTGGCTACTATTCAAACCTCTATAGCATCACTGTCTCGTGCTCCTACGTCTTACGGCTCGGGTAGTTCTGATGCTGGTCGTCGGGTGGCCCCTCGGTTAGTTGGCCCCGAGCTTCTTGCTCCAGGCCGGATTGAGAATCGTGTCTGGCTTCGTGGCTTCCCTCGCGAGATGATGGCCTCCGCCTTCAAGAAGCATTTCACTCAGATCTCTGCCGAGTACGGTTCTTTAGTCAACGCTGAGTGTAAGCCTGCGAATGGCAAGTACACTTACCCGATCATCTTTCCCACGATCGAGCGCGCCAAAGCCTTCATCGCCGAGGCTCGGGAGAGGCCGCCGATCTGGAAGGACCACAAAGACGGCATGAAGCAGCATATTCTGCGAGTTGGAACGGATCAGCCGCTGCCTGTTCGGTTGAAGAAGGTGGCTCTCTCTAGATCCTGGGTTGTTGCGCACGCTCTCCTCCATGAGCATGGTTGCTGGCGCCCACACTTCAAGCTCGGCACGGATCCCTTCAAAGGCACGGTTTTCTTGGTGGATAACGATGAGTACGTTAAGTTGGTCCAGCTCAACAGTGTTGGAGGCGATCTTTCAGGCGAGTTCGTAGTCGAACCCTTCTGTACGACTCTCAAGGACCTCGGCGTGCCTGAGGACAAGATTGCGTCGTTCGGCGAGAAGGTTCAAGTCGATGTTCCACGCTAGGATGCACTTCGACAGCTTCGAGGTCTGACGGATGCTCAGTTTTTTCGTTCCCACTCGCTCCCTTTGTCGAACAGTCGGAATGCTGGGTCTTGCCATTCTGACGACAGGGGCTCGGACAAGGGCAGCTCTTCTTCCTCCTCCTCCTCCTCCTCGTCCTCCTCCTCCCCCTTCCCCTCTCCCCCTGCTGAGTGGTTCGTTCCGTTTAATTTCACTGCAAGTTTTGGCATCTGCACTTACAACACGCCTGCGTATTTCGGTAGCATTTTTGGCAAGCATGAACTTCAGCGTCAGCGCTCTAGTAAGGTCTCAAAACT